TGTGTGTGTATATATATATATATATATATATATATATGTATATGTGTGTGTATATGTATGTGTATATATATATATATATATGTATATATGATCTATTCCTTTAACAACTGCAAAACTTCAATTATCCATTAGCTTGACAGCATGTTGATTTTCCAGCTATATTTTTGTGCTTCCGTTATTACAAGCCAACAGAAAAAAATGCTTGACCGCAGTCTGGACATTTAGGGCAGAAATATGTTTGTCCATTCATTTCTCTCTCTGTGAGCTCACATTCTCGCTCTCCTACTCGAACGTTTACCATTTAAGAGGAAAAAGTCTAATCTGAGTCTATTTCAGGCCCACAAATCTGGAGGGTCACGACCCAAAAATCTGTTTCTGATACAGTCATGAAGAGCAGGGAAAATGCTACATCAAAATATTAGATGAATAACTAACATGGACATTGCATGATTTACTCAGGTCAAACCTATTTGTGTAGCGCTTTTCACAAAACACATTGTTTCAGACCAGCTTTACAGGAAATAATGATATTAATGTTTCTAATATCTTGATATAGTAATTGCTTTTAGTTGCATTTAGCAGATTAGAGCTGTATAATCACACAGATCACATTTGTTATATAGTACATATCACTTCACCCAATTCCTTATCTGGTGAAACCTATAACAATTTGTCATACTGAAGAGCCCAATTACTATTTGTTGACATGTATCGCTGACATGGTTGAATGATTTAAATAAATGACAGGGTTAAAAATTTCAATTGTATCTCCCAGCCTTTAGTCTTTTCATTTTAACCACTAGCACATTAGCAGCGCCTTAGCATTACGTTAGCCTGTTAGCTGGACAATCACATCCCCATTCGTGTTTCATATCCGCTTCTTTTTTCTCTCTGTCTCACTCTATTTATTTTCTCTCTCGCTACATTTTTTCAAGTCCATCAAACAACTGTGTTGAGTCGGAATTATTCTACAGTAACGGTGAGTAATGGCTTCTCATTGCATTGTCACCTGCACTGCTTGCCTCATGTACAGTTCATCTGTCTCTGTCAGCAGCGAGGGATTCACATGTGATAAATGCAGGGAAATAGTTAGGCTGACAGAGAAGATTTCTAGATGTGACTAGGTCAGCGAGTCCTGTACATTGTAAGGTTCCGGTTACAGAGCACCCTCAGCAGGGCGACTGTGTCATAGTCGCGGGTCAAAACACCGCTCTTCCGTTCCGATCAAATCATCAAACAGGTTCTCCCCACTCAGTGACGCACCCGCTGAGAAACCTGATCAAAGTGCTCTAGTTATTGGTGATTCTATTGTACGGAACGTGAAAATAGAGACACCAGCCACCATAGTCCAATGTTTACCGGGAGCCAGAGCCTGACATCTTGGCAAATTTAAAAGTGCTGGCTAATGCTAAACGTAAATTCAGTAAGATAATGATGTTCGACTTTGCCAGTCGGAGATCTCTAAAAAGAACATTAAAGAGGATTGCTCCTTTACGCTTAAGGAAGATTAAGGAAAACAGTCTGACACCGTGATATAAGGAGCACACTCGTGCCCTCAAGACAGCAGCCCGGTAAAACTAGAGGTATTTCGTATTGCTTGGCGGGAAAGTACCCTATCCTACAGAAAAAGCCTTAAAAACTGCTAGATCTGATTACTTTTCATCTCTTTTAGAAGAAAACAAACACAACCCAAAGTATTTATTCAATACAGTGGCTAAATTAACAAAAAAATATAACATCAGCAGGTGCAGACATTTCCCAACAGAATAGTAGTAATGATTTTATGAATTACTTTACTTCTAAGATCGATACTATTAGAGATACAATTGTAGCCATGTAGCCATCAGCCCAAGCGGCAACCTTCCGGTCTCTCTCGTGAAACCAACACGGAAGTGACTAAAACTGCAATTCATCGACTGGCCGCTAGAGGCTGGCTCCAAAAGGGAGTCAGTCCCATAGACTCCCCATGTTAAAATGCCCAACTTTACAGCAGAAAAAAATATGTTTACAGCCTGGTACAAAAAGTGGTTTTGGTCTATATAGCTAATTTTGCCCTTCATGACAACTGTGAGGGGGGTGAATTTTTTTTATAACTCATCCGTTTAAATCATATTAAGTTCTGCATAATTAAGGGCGTGGCCACTTGAGTGACAGGTGGATTGCCGCTGCTGTCACCACTGTCGAGCTAGGTGGGCGTGGTTTCAGCAACCAGCTCCCGCCTCTTTGCCCATTTTCGATTATCTGGGAGTGACGCGAGGTGACACGCTGCCAAGATGGCGACGGTCGGCTCCGCCCACTTTGAGCTTCAAAAACGCTTTTCAGAAACCTACGGGTGGACGTCACGGACACTATGTCCATGTTTTTATACAGTCTATGCGTCAGCCACAGTATCACATCAGATAGTGCGCTATAGATCCCCTGAGGAACAATTCCACTCATTCTCTTCTATAGGAAAGGAAGAATTGTATAAACTTGTTAAATCATCTAAACCAACAACATGTATGTTAGACCCTATTCCATCTAAGCTACTAAAAGAGATGCTTCCAGAAGTCATAGATCCTCTTCTGAATATTATTAATTCGTCATTAGGATATGTCCCAAACATCTTCAAACTGGCTGATATTAAGCCTCTCATTATTAAACCACAAATTGACCCCAAATAATTAATTAATTACAGACCGATCTCGAATCTCCCTTTTCTGTCAAAGATATTAGAAAAGGTAGTATCATCACAACTATTTTCCTTCTTAGAAAAATATTCTCTGTGAGGATTTAGACCGTATCATAGTACTGAGACTGCTCTCATTAGAGTTACAAATGACCTGCTCTTATCATCCCATCATGGTTGTATCTCTCTATTAGTGCTACTGGAACTTAGCGCTGCGTTTGACACTATTGACCACGACATTCTTTTGAAAAGACTAGAAAATGATGTCGGCATTAGAGGAAGTGCATTAGCATGGTTCAAATCGTACTTATCTGACCGCCATCAATTTGTAGCAGTGAATGAAGAGGTGTCATATCGATCACAAGTGCAGTATGAAGTACCTCAAGGCTCAGTACTAGGACAGTTTCTTTTTACGCTTTACATGCTACCCTTGGGAGATATCATCAGGAAACACGGTGTTAGCTTTCACTGTTATGCTGATGATACTCAGCTCTATATTTCTTCGCAGCCCGGCGAAACATACCAATTTGAAAAACTAACAGAATGCATAATCGATATAAAAAACTTATCATATCGATCACAAGTACAGTATGGAGTACCACAAGGCTCAGTACTAGGACCTTTGGACCCTACATGTACCCTTGGGAGATATCATCAGGAAACATGGTGTTAGCTTTCACTGTTATGCTGATGATACTTAGCTCTATATTTCTTTGCGGCCCGACGAAACATACCAATTTGCAAAACTAACAGAATGCATAGTTGATATACAAAACTGGATGACTAGTAATTTCTTACAGTTAAATTCTAAAAAAAAACAGAGGTGTTAATTATCGGACCTAAAACCTCCACATGTAATAACCTAGAACACTGTCTAAGACTCGATGGCTGCTCTGTCAATTCTTCGTCATCAGTTAGGAACCTAGGTGTGCTATTTGATAGCAATCTTTCCTTAGAAAGCCACATTTCTAGCATTTGCAAAACTGCATTTTTCCATCTAAAAAATATACCTAAATTACGACCTATGCTGTCAATGGCAAATGCAGAAACGTTCATTTATGCGTTCATGACCTCAAGGTTAGATTATTGTAATGCTTTATTGGGTGGTTGTTCTGCACGCTTAATAAACAAACTCCAGCTGGTCCAAAATGCAGCAGCTAGAGTTCTTATTAGAACCAGGAATTATGACCATATTAGCCCGGATCTGTCAACACTGCACTGGCTCCCTATTAAACATGGTATAGATTTTAAAATCTTGCTAATTACCTATAAATCCCTGAATGGTTTAGTGCCTCAGTATTTGAGCGAACACTTATTGCATTATAGTCCACGGGAACCAGATGATTCCTCTGAACAATCGGACTTTGTTGCAGCCTAGAATTAAACTGCTGGTTTCGTCTGGCCAGAGGAGAATGGCACACTATTTCAACACACTATTTCCCTGTTTAATACTGTAAAGCTGCTTAGACACAATCTGCATTGTAAAAAGCATTATATAAATAATGGTGACTTGACTTGACTTATCTAGGCCTATGTATTTAGACCCCAAATGTCAGGCAGCTGTGGCAAGAAGAAAAACTCCACTTGATTTTGAATAATGGATGAAAAAAAAACTTTAGGAGAAAATAGGCAAAAGTATCAGTTCTCTTCTAACTCTACAGTCCAAACTTAATGTCAGTAATTCAGTAAATAAACTACTGTACTACTGTACTAAAAGCACACAGAAAGCCATCTGTCAGACAGCGAGTACCGAACTGAATTATTTCATGTGCTTTCATGTGCTCTTTTTCAAAATCAAGCACATTACACTTTTTATTTTCTCATTCATATAATGACTACAAGCAGATATAAACGAAAGAGCAAAAGCTCTATAAAAACCATTGACACTTTAGACTAGGGCTGTGCAAATAATCGAATGCGATAATCATGCACATCTCATCAGTAAAGCCGGTTCTGTGATTAGTAGTAAATCTCCATCACCTGCTTTCAAATGGAGCAGCATTTACTACACAGAGCCGTAGTTCACTGACAAGCTACACAATATCGCGTTCATAATTGCAGGCGATACATCGGCGATAATGAACGCGATATTGCATAGCTTGTCAGTGATCTACGGCTCTGTGTAGTAAATGCTGCTCCATCTGAAAGCAGGTGATGGAGATTTACTACTAATCACAGAACCGACTTTACTGACGAGATGCGCATGATAATGGCATTCGTTTATTTGCACAGTCCTACTTTAGACTGTGCAAATAAAGTAGGTGCAGACTGTGCAAACGCCATCATCACAATGTATAACATCTTGCTGGCCAGCCATATTCACAGTCTCCATACATTTGTCTGTTTGATTATAAGGACATTATGGGTGATTTTTGTGTTTCAGTGCTGGATTGCTACTGCATGTCCAGTATGATATAGGTCCTGAAGCAAACCCAGAAGAGAAGCTCTGCTCTAGACTGTATGTACTGTGATCTGTGTGTGTGTGTGTGAGTGTGTGTGTGTACCTGAACCTCTCCTCCTGCAGCGCCTGCATCACTAGCCTGCACTCCTTCATATATCCGCTCCTCACACTCTCCAGCGTCTCCTCCAGGCGCGTCTGCGTGTCTCGCAGCTCCTGCATCAGCATGTCCAGGCTGCCGCGGTGGCCCCGCTCCAGCGTGTTCCCCCTGGAGCTGGGCGGGCCCCCAGGGGCCCCCGTCATGCCGTTGGATCCCGAGGTGGCACTGGAGCAGTCCTCGTCGCTGCCGAACTTGGGGCTGGACTGCAGGTGTGCGGCGGAGGCTCTGTCCTCAGCCTCCTCCGCCCCGTCCCTCAGCACGCTGATGTTGTCTGCACTGCCGAAGTGGTGGCGGATGAGCGAAGCGATCTCGCGCGGTTTGGAGGCCACGGCCCCCGCGGCCGAGTGCAGGCTGTCCACCACCCCCTCGTTGAGGCCCGTGATGACCCGGGCCCCCACATCCCTCAGGCCCTGCTGCATGTCGCGCAGCGTGTCTTTGGGCTGCCGCTGCACGCTGCTGTGCTCCGCCTCGCGCAGACGACGGTGGTAATGCTCCAGCTTGCGCTGCAGCTGGGCGATGCTCGCCGCAGCCTTCTGGTTCTTCTTCTCAAACACCTGAGGATGGAGGCAATGTGGAGGGGTGTGGAAGATTGAGGGAGGGAGGAGAGCGAGACATGAGCGAGGAAGGAGATTAAGGCCCTGTTCACACTAGTGCGTTTTGGTTTTAAAACAGCATTTTAAAATGAAAACTATCTTCGTCTATACTGGTGTTTTCATTGCGTTTCAGAAACGATCTCAGTCCACACTATGCAACCGAAAATGCATGTCACATGACCATTCATGCAGGTACAACCATAAATATGTATTGGTAGTACAGCTGCACGATTAATCGTTAAAAAAAAATCACATTCTCCATTCAAACACCCATGTGATCCCATTTTTAAATGACAACGATTCGCTCATGTCTATTAAACCTTTGTAAAAATCATACTGCAACATTCAAATCTGCGTTTGCACTGCCGCTGACACAGAGAGAGCAGACATTTACCATGTTTGAGTAAGAAACAGCTTCACAAACAGTCTTTTCAACTACACAGTATTATTTCTGTCTTACAGTCATTCATATTATCACAGAAATAATGGGATGAAAGCTTATAGCTCATATATAAACATTAAAGCAAATCCCCTTTTGAAAGTAATTGGGTTTGTGTCGATTGCATAGTTTCACCACTAGGTGGCGACAATCGACTTTTAAAAAAATTATTTGTCATTGAATCATTCATTCAAGAGATTTTTTTTCAAAAATGCTGATCATACAGTAATGAAATAAGTGAAGTATTCATGAGTGAATCATTGAATCATTCATACAAACAACTTTTTCTTAATTTTAATATTAATAATTGGTGTATTAAATATATTATATTTTAAATACATATATATATTAAAATGTTTAATAATTAATTCAAATTAATTAAACACTTTTAAATAGACTGCAGCAATAATATTTTGTTACATTATTTTGTTTAGTTCAGAATCATGGGAGTATCGTGATCTCTATTTGAGACAAAAAAATAAATAAATCGTGATTCTCAATTTATCCAGAATCATGCAGCTCTAATAGGTAGATGCCCTATTATTTAGATGGTGGACGCGTGTCTACGTGCTTGGAGCGGTCGAATGGGGAATCTACCTATGCATATCTATGAGTACAACAATGAGCATGTTATTGTTTACACGTTTGTCAAGGATACGCAGAGCGAATGTGGGCAGCCACGCCATCGTTTTCAAAAGTCTCCGTTTGGTCCGTTTACACTGAAACGCAACCCTGGAGTTTCAAACTAAAACAGGGTCTGCAGCGTTTTCAAAAGTCTCCGTTTTTGAGGGTCGAAAATGCCGGAGTAGTGTTAACAACAGGTGTAACCGTACATGCACAGAATAATTGTTTACAAAAAGATAACGTATAACGTGCATTTACAAAATACATAGGCTAAATATTAATTTTACACTGACTTAAATTGTAATGAAAATAATGTAAAAATTTAAAAAATAAGTTTGACATTAATTTCGTTGCAATTATATATATGTGTGTGTGTGTGTGTAGTGGTGGCCAAAATATCTTTTGCTGTAGTGTGTCAGTAGGAAATATCAATTTACATTACATGATATATTGCAGTCAAATCTCTCTAACTTTAAGGGGTACAACAGCTTGTCACTGGGGCAGTACCCTGAAAGGAACATCTTTGTACCTTATTTACTGCTAAAAGGTAAATTGTAGCACCTTATGAGGGCATATTACTTTTAATCGCGAATAGTAAAATTAAGTGATGCAAAGGCCATGTATGGTAAACCATACTCGGAATTTGTCCTCTGCATTTCACCTATCCAAGCACTGTTCATGAACTTCCCCTACCTACATGTCCTGCCGGTACTGAGACTTGTTTACAAGTTTATAAGTCTGAGTCTTTAACCATTAGGCCACAACTGTCCCTATAATAGTATAATAGTAGATAAGGTACAACGTTGTCCTTTTAAGGGTACTGCTCCAGTGACATGTTCTTGTACCACTAAAGGTACAATCATTAGAACACTAGTACTGTCACCAGCTAAAAATGGTTTGAAGTCAGTTATTTCTATCTTTTGCTGTAGTGTGTCAGTAGGAAATATCAGTTTACATTTCCAAACATTCATTTTGCCATTACAGTTTTTCTCAATCGATTTGACACGTGTCCAAACTCAGGTCACTGTTCTCAAAACTGTTAACACAGTGATCTGAATACTTTGTAATTTTCCTAAACAGATTGTACGTCATTTTATACAGATTACAAATCATGCAAATAATTTTCTCAAAACAATGTGCACAAAACTCTCAAATGTTTTCACAATAGTTAATACAACCAACCAATACTTTAAAATA